GGGAGTGTTTTGGCCGCTCACTGTGATCTCATATCACCATGAATGGGGTATATAAACCCCACTCATAGAGTAAGGTTCAGTTATTGTTCATCCTTCATATGAATAAAGGATTCAAGAGGAGGCAGTGTTCACAACATGGCGACCACGACACCCGAGAAGAAGCTGCAGTTAGAAGACACGACAGAATGCAGATCTTCAGACAGTATCCTACGGATCCAGAAGGCGGAGTTATACTCAAAGAACGTGAGTATAATACGATCATTAGTGCATGTTCGATCCCGCTAGCTCACAAAAAGGAATCCAAGGAACTCTACAGATGAACTTTTTGGACGCTGCCTTACTTTCGAGGCTAGACATGCCCAGTTTTTCCGGCAACCTTCTTGATTTCCCCACGTTCTGGTCAAGGTATAACGCTCTGGTCCATTCAAAGATAGATCTTTCGGATGCAACAAAGTTCTCTCTGTTGAAAAGTTGCCTGAGAGGGCAAGCGTTACAATCCATCGAAGGAATCCCCGTAACCGACGAAGATTATCGTACGGCTGTCGACATTCTTCATCAAATGTACAACAACCCCTCAGCCCTGCGCCACCTGATTTACACGGAACTCGCAAATCTTCCACAGTGTGATCAGGAAGGGAAACGACTTCAAGAAATTTATCTGAAAATGCTACGTCTTATTAGGCAATACACTTCCATCACCCCAGGGTCGCCGGAATACGGGCTCGGGGCACTACTATATAATAAATTGCCACGATTCGTTCAGTCCAAGATATACGACATAACAGGAGGACAGATGAGCCTCACACCAAACCAACTAATTGATCTCCTCTCGGACGTGGTGAGAAAAGAAGTCACCTTAGGACAGGTCGGCAATTCCATCAACTCTTATTGTGCAAATAATTACAACCTTCGAAATTCAACAACGGGAGATGCAGAACGGCTCAAGAAGCCTGTACCATTCTCGAATGTACGCCAGAAGTCTTGTCCCTTTTGCTTTGAAACTAATCATAATGCATTCCAATGTCGCTATTTCAATACACCGGACGAAAGACGTGACCGCACTCACCAGAATGATCTGTGTTTCAAATGTCTACGACCGGATCACAGAACAAAATTCTGTGACCGACCACCCTGCAATATCTGCAACTATCACCATCACCCCTCCCTGTGCTATCATTCAAAACCACCACAAAACAAAACCTTATCAGAAAGGGATACCAACAAAATCATCCAAAACAACTTTGCATTTCCAAAGAATCAAACCAACGAATGGTCGAAAAGGACAAACGATATTCAAAGTAATTCCAATCGGTTTCTAGACGGCGGTAAACTCAAGCAAGCTCGTTCACCAGCTAATCTAGTAAACTTTTCCGAGGATGTGTCAGAAAACAGCGCTAAAAATGAAAGTGAAGAAGATGGAGAACCAAATCAAAAAAGTGGTCTGTGCTACACCGCAACCAGTTCAACGACAATCGAAACAGAGAACAATGAAGAGCAAAAGAACAACGACGAAGTTCTGCTAATGTGCACTGAGATCATATTAGTCAATCCGGATGACAGGAGCAAGAGAGCAAGAACTCTGGCCTTTCTGGACAGTGGTTCAACACATTCATACATTACGACAGATGTCGCAGAAAATCTCAAACTAAACCAAGTCACGGAAAAGGATATTACACTTTACACATTCGGAAACGAGGAGTCGAGAACAGTATCATCAAAGCAGTATAACATCTGCATACTATTACCAAACGACTCATTGTACCCTATGAAGGTACAATCCCTTCCTATCCTTACGAAACCTCTACCCCTTCCCTCCAGCCTCCCGTCTCTATCAACTGAGCTTGCCCAACGTTTCTCGATTTCAGCCAGACACAGAGAGACAGGAATTCTCATAGGAATGGATCACTTTTGGCAGTTGGTCCTCTCCTCCGATTTCCATTCTTCAAATCTGCCGAGTGGACATTACCTATTGCACACGAAATTAGGGAAGATTATCTCTGGAAGGAAAATACCGACTCGTGCTGTAAACATGGCAGTGAAAAATGAAAGTGATCACCCATTGAACAAGCAGAGTTTAGATGAAATGGTAGAAAGATTCTGGTCCTGTGAATCTCTCGGTACAACAAACGAAGCAAGCTCCAAAGACGATAATATATGTCTCGATTTCTTCAACACCACAACACGCTACGATGAAGCCGAATGCCGCTACTATACAAGACTTCCATTCAAAAGTAGACCGCCAAAAGTACCAGAAAACTATAATCACAGCCTAGCATGCTTGAAGTCGAACTGGAAAACCCTCTCTAAAAATCCCTCTCATCTAGAGAAGTATCACAACATCATCAAAGAACAACTACAGCGAGGCATAATCCGCGAAGTTTCGAATACAGTCGAAGAAACAAAAGGAACATATCTTCCACACCACGCCGTGATTAGCGGATCAAAGACAACAAAAATTCGACTGGTGTACAATGGGAGCGCAAAGAGCGGCAACCAACCAAGTCTCAACGAATGTTTGTTTCGTGGTCCAGTCTTGATTCCAGACTTGAGCGGAATACTTCTTAGAATTCGCCTCGCACCCATTCTACTGATAGGAGATATAGAAAAAGCATATCACATGATAGGATTAGAAGAAAGCGATCAACCTTTCACAAAGTTCCTGTGGCTCAAGGACCATCGACAACCCCCCTCAAAAGAGAACCTGATGACACTCCAATTTCAACGAGTTCCATTTGGACTGATATGCAGCGCTTTCTTACTGGCTGCTACGATTCATCTTCACCTTACAAAAACAGCGACGACACTGTCTCATGAGATACTCACTTCATGTTATGTGGACAACATTTTCTTGACAGCAAATACAAAAGAGCAAGCAATAGATAAATATAACGAAACCAAGAGTTTATTCAAACTTGCTGGTATGAATGTTCGACAATGGACCACCTCAAATGCTGAAGCCAACTCGTATATCGCACTGAAAGAGAACGCGCCAGCAGAAGAAACCGCGAAAATCCTTGGTATTCAGTGGAATGTTGAATCCGACACACTCACTCTTCGACTACCCACCAAATACGAGAAGTCATTGATTCCCACCAAACGAAATGTACTGAAACAAGTCGCTTCAATCTTTGACCGCTCGGACTCATAGCTCCGGTTACCGTAGAAGCGAAGATTTTCCTCCAAAGCCTATGGAAAGAAACCTTTCAGTGGGACGAGATACTACCCACTCAATATCAAACACTTTGGACAAATATCCTCGACTCTTGGACCACTCCCTCGCTCAGAATCCCTCGAAGAATCATAATCAACCCTAAAATACCCTCTTCTCACCAACTTCACGTTTTCACCGATGCATCACAATCCGCATACTGCGCCGTTGCCTATATTCGAACAGTTACAGCACAGCAGATTGATGTCAAGCTATTAATGGGACGAACACGACTACCTCCACTGAAAAACACCGTAACAATCCCGCGTCTCGAACTAAGTGCTATCTCTCTGGGATCTATGTTGATGAAACACATCGCAAAAGAGATGGAAATTCAATACGATAAGATGTACCTCTGGTCTGACTCCAAAGTCGCTTTACAATGGATCAAAAGCAATGCAAGGCTTCCAATTTTCATCCAAAATCGAGTTCTCTGTATCAAGAATAATGCTCCAAGAGCTATTCTACGCCACGTCCCCTCTGCATTCAACCCTGCTGATGTGGGAAGCAGAGGTTCATCTATTGAAGATCTTCTAGGCAACGAGCTGTGGTGGAACGGACCACCCTTCTTGAAGCAAAACGATCAGCATTGGCCTGAAGACAAAAGTGAGGAAACAACTAGCCAGAACGAAATAGTCGCCATCACGATCAATATGGAATGAAGAAAAAACCCAAACTGGGACACTAATTGATAATACTACGAAATTCGGCAGCTGGAAAAAACTCCTACAAGTTGCAGTCAACGTAATATACTTCGTATTCATTACCAAACAAAAAATTGCAAAGAAGAGGAATACAGTACTTAACAGTCTAGACCTTATTGGAAAAGCGAGTCTGATACTTTTCCGACAAGCGCAGTCAACAAGTCCAATAACAGAAGATCAAAAGAAGAGTCTTCGAGCCTATTTCGAAGAAAATACACAGCTATGGAGATCGAAAGGAAGAACTTCGAACTCAACGTTGCCTTTCGACACGAACAATCCCATCATCCTCCCACGCCGAAACTGGATAACATCCTTGTACATACTTCATATACATCAAGAAAACCATCACACTGGAATCGCTCAGACACTTACCACTCTTCGAGAACATGTATGGATTCCTCAAGGAAGAGCCGAAGTGAAGCGAAGTCATCAACAAATTATGCATGTATTGCAAAAGAGAAAAAGCACCACCGTTCCGCCTACCACCCTTCCCAGACCACCCCCAAGAAAGAGTGAAACAACCACATTATCCGTTTTACAACTGTGCTATCGACTATGCCGGCCCATTTAAAGCCACAATCAACGAAGAAGAAGTAAAGGTGTGGATTGCTCTTTTCACATGCATCAACACACGTGCTATCCACGTCGACGCAGCAAAAAGTCTCAGCGCAAATTGTTTCCTTCAAATTCTTCGAAGATTTATATCAACTCATGGATGCCCCCATTGGATACCTCTCAGATAATGCTTCGGCTTTCACATCAGTAGCCAACACAATTCAAACCATTCCTATCAACAAAAACAACGCCCTTGTCGACTACTGCTCTCAGCATAATATTCATTTCAAATTCATCCCTGCCTTCGCTCCATGGCAAGGGGGCATATACGAAAGTATGGTCAAAATTTTCAAGAAATCCCTCAAAGCAACTATTCGAAATCGCAAACTGGACTTCGACGAATTTCTCACTATGGCCAAAGAGTGCGAAGCAATTGTCAACACCCGACCACTCACGTACGTTTACAGTGATATTGACTCGGGTTATCCCCTTCGACCCATAGACTTCCTCAGACCATTCGCGCTTCTGGGATCCCCAAGAATAAAAAGAAGAAGACGAATCCGAGGAGGAGTGGAAGACTGAAGTAAGAGATGATGATCTCCAGATGCGATGGAAGTCTACGCTAGAACTACTCAACAAGTTTTGGAAAAAATGGCATGAAGAGTATTTAACAAGTATGAGAGAACGATTTCAACAAGAACATAGACAACCACGCTCACTATCAAAGGAGGTACCTGGAGAAAATCAGATCGTCATAGTACACGACTCGATGAAACAACGGGGCCAGTGGAAACTTGCAAGAATAATCAAAAGGTCCGATCATTGCGCCACTCTCAAACTAGCTGATGGACAAACAATAACACGCCCCTTCAACCTCCTCTATCCATTAGAAATACCAGCTTGCGAAATGGATCTAGAAAATGATGGAGAAGAAAGAACAATGCTGAGAGACACTATGTCGAAACATGAAGCAACAAGATCCCAAAACGGAACAGAACAAGAAGCAACAAGTTTCTAAGAAGACAGCCCAACGAACGCATCCTATGATAACAAGAAGCCTCAAAAGAAACGTCGTATAAACCACAATCATCACTACAAAGAAGATCCAAGAACGTATTGTATATCAGCCAACTACTACTGAAGATATAGAAGTCAAGTTATCAAGAAACATTTTTTTTTTCGGGCGGGAGTGTTTTGGCCGCTCACTGTGATCTCATATCACCATGAATGGGGTATATAAACCCCACTCATAGAGTAAGGTTCAGTTATTGTTCATCCTTCTTATGAATAAAGGATTCAAGTGGAGGCAGTGTTCACAACACACAGCTGGTTCACGTCTAACGATGCGTTTATATTCAGTCCACACGGCAGATCTTGAGAAGAAATCAGTCTCATGTGCGCTAAGAAAACCTCTCGATTTGTTGAAGTGAACCTGGTTCATTCAAAGTAGAGATGATGAGATATGAAAAGCATAAAATGATATGTAAAAGCCTATACATCAATCGAAGACGCGACTGCTCATTTAATGAGCGGCGTTATGAAGTTCGGCCTTGCGGCTATGTCATGCACCAATTTTAAGGAGACTACTAGATACTTAGACGACCCGTTGATCAGCACGGCGGTTGGCCTTGCGCGGGTCCCAACTTCTTTTCCATTGCTCGCGGTCTTGGGCTTTCGTTGTCCAGTGTACGGCCACCTTAAGGGACACAGGATCATACACGTTGTTTCTGTATGCCAAAGAGTCTGCCCAACGTAAAGGAGGGCGGCCAAGTGGCCGTTTCTTCTCGCGCGGATACCATTGAGCAGTCTTCGAGCTCCAACGTCCATCGTTTCTTCTGATCAAATGCCCAGCAAATCGGTGCTTCGCTTCATTGACGTGAACCAAAACGTCCTTAATCTTCGACATAGCTCTGACGTCAGAATTGTGCAGGCTCAGTTCTCGTTGACGGCTCAGCGTTAGGCCTATCAGACGACGTTCAATTGATGCCTGAGCGGATTGAAGCCTCTTTTCTAGCGATTTTGTTAAGGCCCAGGTTTCTCCAGCGTAGCTGAGGGCAGGTAGCACTGACGAATTGAACAGGTCGGCCCGGAGCTTCCGATCCTTGGTATCCTCTGCAACACTTCTTATTGAGTTAAAGGCGGCCCATCCAGCCTTACGACGTCTCGCTAGCTCTCCGGAAAGATCGTTCTTCATGTTCAGCTGGCTCCCAAGGTATATGTACTCCTCAACGTCTTCGATTGGACTTCCTTTTAAGAGTACAGGGGCGCTAGCTGAGAATGCATTCCGCATGACCTTCGTTTTGGAGGTGTTGATAACGAGACCGCAATGACTTCCTTCCTCGTCCAGAAGATTTAGCATCTCAGATGCATGCTCTGGCGAATCCGTAATCAAGACGATGTCATCGGCAAATCGGAGGTGATTCAAACGCATGCCGTCGACGTTGATTCCTTGGCTGCTCCAGTTGCAGCGGCGTATCACGGATTCCAGACAGGCAGCGAAGAGGTTAGGTGATATTGGATCACCTTGTCGCACGCCTTTCTCAACTGCAACAACAACGTCATTGTAGAAAGGGCGAAACACTGTTGAACATTCCGTGTAGCATTCACGCAGCACATCCACGTACACCTTTTCGACGCCTTGGTCTTCCAGCGCCCTCCATACCTTCGTTGGTTCCACTGAATCAAACGCCTTCTTGTAGTCAATGAATGTCATCACCAGAGGCAGTTGATGCTCGCGCGATGCTTCGATAAGGCGTCGACAGGTCATAATATGGTCGAGCGTGCTAAAATTGCGGCGAAAGCCTGCCTGCTCTACTGGCTGAGCCTCTTCCAATGTTCGTCGGATACGCGCCAATATGCAACGCGTAAACACTTTGTAGAATACCGGCAGCAGAGTGATGGGACGATAGTTTGCCAGGTCTTCTTTATCGCCTTTCTTGAACAGTAACACTGTCGATGACTGCTTCCACGCCCTTGGAACAGCACATTCAGCTACATAACGCGTAAACCTCTTAGCAAGGGCTCGATATAAAGGCAGACCGCATGCTCGAAGAAGTTCTATAGTGATGCCGTCTCTTTCCAGGCGCCTTGTTTTGGGGCATCGTTTCAACCGCATGGCGCACTTCCGATGTGAGAAAGGGCAAAACTTCATCGGTGCTCGGCGCATCCATTCGAATGACGGGGATGTCTGACTTGAACAGAGCTGTGTAGTATGTTGCCAGAATTTGCTCCATTTCTTGTATCGATGAGCAACGGGATCCGTCTGGAGCCTTGAGGCACGGAATCCTCAAGCGGTGTTCGGCAATCCCTTTTCTGGTTCTCTTCAGGCTCCGTCTGTTTTCCGCCTCGTCTAGGAGTCTTGACCTTATGAAGTTGGCATGGTCTTCAGCAATCCGTTTTCTACACAACCGGCTGAGTAGAGTGTACTCCAAGTGGTTTCTTTGTCTGTCCATGTGCCTGCGTTTCTCGAGAAGAGCGCGAGTAGCTGCAGTGATACGACGAGCATTATGATTCGGAGCAGTACGGCGACAGCTTTCTCCAAGTCTTGTTACCGCTTGCACGAGGCTATCGTAATCGGTGTTGACGTCACCAACCATTTCAAAGTGTTCTTCGCTTGCAAGCCTTGAGACAGCGTCTACGTCTAGCACGGTAGGTGTGGAATGTCTTGAGCGTATGCGCATCAGGCGCACTAGGCTGCGGTCGAAATGGAATCGTCCTCGGAGTAGACGGTGATCGCTACCCGTGTTGAACGAAGGCACCACTGCAACATCTGTCATGATTCTACGGTTGCATAAGATGTGATCCAACTCATGACAATGCTGCCCATTCGGGGTTACGTGAGTCCATCTTCTTTTCGGCGATTTGATGAACTGACTATTGCCGTGATAGAAATGATGGAGTTCGCAAAAATTCGCTAGTCTCTGCCCAGCTTCGTTACGATCTTCGGCTGAATGTGGACCGATGAAGACCTCCCCGGCTCTCCTTGATCCAACACGAGCGTTGAAGTCGCCCATTATCACGACGTAGTTGCGTTGACTGCGAATGAGTTCTTCCAGTTGCTCATAGAAGTCATCGTGCTCCTCTTCATCACTGTCTGCTATAGGCGCATAGACTTGCACCACCGCTATCTGTATGTCCCTCGAGAGCGAAGCGGTTAGCACGGCGAGCCGATGACTATGGAACGTTACACTTCGCACATGTTTGGGAAAACTCCGGTGACACTATGAAGCCAACGCCTCCTGATGTTGAGTTAGACTTGCGGGCTCCTAGGAATACTGACGTCCCATCGGTCCACGTGCAGGACAAGGGCTCCTTCCGCTTTGTTTCACTGAGGCCGATTATATGGTATTTGATCCGTCGAGCTTCATCGATAAGTGTAGAAAGCTGAGCGGCCGAACTGATGCTACGGCAGTTGTAGGTACAGGCAATCAGTTGGCTCGCTCTTGTCCGTCTCCTTTGGTAGCCTACGGCCCTGAGATTTCCTCGCCTTCGGCTGTTTGCTGATCCAGCGCTACCGGACTGGGCAGGGACAGCCTGCAGGGGACTAAGGCAGTTATAAGAAGTGGTCGTGGTATTTTCGTCCCACGGGATAGCCTTACCAGGGCGTTCCCGTTGCTCAAGGAGAGCGCCGTCCCACCAAGGGCTTGGGCACTTTGGGTTCTTTAGTCACGGGGAATCGGTATGGGGTTTCGGCGCAGCCCTATCCCGAAGGATATTCCGATCCCGCCTCAAGCTCGTACACCACTACAAGGTAGAACCCATGTACAAGTTCATGCCCATCCTAAGGTCACTAGTGATCTAAGGAAGCATTCCGACCCATTAATTTTAGAGAACTTTTCGTTACAAATTGAAATTAGCTAGAAAATAAAAACCTAAAATCAATAAGAAGTTGGGCTAGAATGACTAGAAAACGTTTAGAAAATCCTAGAAATCCTAGTACACTGAAGGAGCGCTTTACTCTTGAGTGCTGTGATATCTACTCTTCGCAAGTAAGTGAAATATGCATTTTTTTATTCAGCTTCGACAGTCGCGAGGAATGGAAGGAGTGCCCCTCTATAAGGTACATTCGTGACCAGTCACATTGCGGTAGGTAATATTATTAATATTCTGTTTATGTGAAGGAATAGGGCAAAGTTGCCGACGTGATGAAAAAGAATGGCCGGATGTGAGCCAAAGAGATGCGCTGGGTGCCGTGTGCGACGAAAACGCACGGCAGTCACAACATACACGTCCAACACGTACATGTTGTCCCACCCACAACATTTCTGGTTGAGACGGCTTAATCGCATTCCATATTTGTTGCACAAGCAACTAGCACATTTTGTTCATGAGCCATGCATGATTCAAACCCGTTTGTAACTGAATATAAGTCTTGCGTGGAGGATCCTACTTCTGCTCATGATGCTTTCCACTCCTTCAGGCTCTTGTTGGGCTGTCTCAGCTGCGGCAACGATGTCCGATCGTCTCTGTGTTCAGACACTCCGCAGAAAGAAGGTTAGTCATCAGATAGGTCTTCGCATACTACCTTGGTAGCGCCTTTATACCAGATAATCATGTGGTTTCAACAAGAGAACTTCGTTCGTTATCGCTGTCTTGCTCGGAGGGCTTGTATCCAGCAGCTAATATTTTTACGGGAAGCTAGTTGCATTTTGGCCCGAGCATTAAGAGTGACACAATTTCAGACGATCCTTTCGGACACTGACATTCTTGCGTGTTGTGGAGATTTCTGTGGATTTGGGTAGGTTCATTGCTGAAACTCTAAGTAATGATCAGCTACTAATCAGTAATGATCATCCCAAGGATCACCTTGCTCTTCCGACTGAGGATCTATCTAATTTGACAAGAGCTGGCATATCTCGATCCACTTCAGGCCTTCGACAGGGTAGCCCACGATGCCTTTTATACTAGTGAATTGAAGTCGAAGCTTTCCCGTCAGAGCTTCTTCGGGAGAAAAGGACGGAGTTGTATTGCTGCGAGGTTAATAGGAGCTGACAGCAACTCATGTTAGCACAGACTTCGGATGATAAGATTGAAAAGTGCCCTGGTCCCATAAGAAGTCCTCCACATTCAGGAACTTCTCACTTTCGTGCCCACGATCTTACGGCAGTACAGGGTAGGACACGATTGGGGCATCAGATACGTTCGAGTTCTTATCCTGGTTTGTCTGTCGGGCACTTTCTTGAGGCCGATGTCAGACTTTGCGAATCGCGCGATTCGCTAGCGTCCGCGGTTGCGGTACCAGCCAATTGAGTGATTCACTGGCCGCGACGCGACCGCAGACGCTAGCGAATCGCGCGATTCGCAAAGTCTGACATCGGCCTAAACTTAGCGTCACAAACTCAACTCGGATTTAGCTCGTGCTTCAACAATAGAGAAATGTTCTAAGGGAACTAAAAAAGTTTTCTTGCTCTTTTGCTCAAATTTCTGCAACATAGAACTTCTTCGCGCTAGTAGAAGTGCTGAGCAGTTGTCCCACAGGTACTAGCAGCTGCTTACTTACAGATGCGATGCATGGTTGTACGCCCAGAAAAGTGGTGTGTGTAGCGGAGGACGGTATAAGGAGCAGGTAAGAAGAACAGTTTCTGGTCAGGAAAAACGATGCTCGGCTAATTTCTCCATCACGATACTATGATAAGCCAGTAAGGCAGTACTGCAATCGCCATCATGCCGTTCTTCTTCACCAGGGGGTCTCGGAAAAGACGGTTTTCAGGGAGTCTGTAAGCCGTACACTTTCCATCCATGTGGACGTCACAAAAATCAGACATATTATGGTGACTGCCCGAAACACACCTACAGGACACCGATGTGCAAGCAATTCTGCCAGTACGGATACGGAAAGCGCTATGACAGCGATAAAGTCTACGGTAGGGGATTATTGTTTTTGAAATGCCCCGACTTCTTTTCACTTCTACCCAATAGGTCGATTTCTTTAAAGCAGTGATCACTATGGCTGAAAGGCGGTGCGGCTCTGATCACGTCATGGAGCGTCGCTGTGTGAAAGTCTTCGGGAGGCGTCCCAACCCACCACCCAGCTGGGCAGTCCAGTCTATCGATGGCGTTCAATGAGTGACTCATAAAAACTGCATCGCCCTCCTCCCTCCCCCCTCCTCCCCCTCGGCCCCCTCTTCCTCAGCCATCGTGAGCTCTGCCTTTGAGTAGGCAATCCAAGAAGTTCCTCGAATTGTCCCCGATGAGATGCGTTATACCGTGGTCATGGCTGGCGTTGCATCTTGAAAAACCTCACGGAGCACCTGAGTAAACCTTGGAATTTGACTCTAAAGATCTCTGGAGCGCTAGGGCGCAGGTTTTCTTCGAGACGTACCCCAGAATTTTCCATAATTTTTGACTCAGTCTGCTTCGTTTTCAGCAACTGCGGCTTACCGTATCAAAAATGATGAAGCTGCTATTCAAGCACAAATCATTGTCAAAGGGCCAGTTCAAGCGTCGTTTGCCACCTATGAGGACTTTGCGTATTACAAGTCGGGGATTTACGTGGTAACTATTTTTCTGGTGATTGTCTTTGATCTTTGCTCCAGGCTGATCAGTCAAAAACTCTTGTGAACCTTGAATTCGCGCTATAAACAACAAGCCTGGGCGTCGCCTGCGGGCGCACAGTAACGTCGAGACGGCTTATTGTTGGAAGGAGAAAGTAATGCGCAGAGCTTGCCCCAACAATCATCCCTTTTTATTTTCCAGCACACAGCCGGCAAACGAAGGGGCGGACACGCGGTGAAAATTATCGGATGGGGAGTTGAAAATGGCACGAAAGTATTTGGACGGTCGGTTGCCAATTCGTGGAATACCGACTGGGGAGAAGACGGAGGTACGTGATTTTGCGAAGCTATTGTCCTCAAAAGGTAAAAATTTCTCGCAATTTTCGCATAGAGGCGAATTTGAAGTTATTATAGTACTCATGAGCGGGAGCAGCGCATCCGTTTGCGAAGTGTGACGACATGCAGGCGACTGCAGATGTAAGCCTGAGACGCGAGCGGTCGCGACACTGCTTGGTTATTCAGTGGCTGGGCCCCCATCCATAACGGAACGCAACGCGTCGCCTGTTTCCTTCCACCTACTGATATTTCGCAGTTAAAATATGACCCCCTTCCTGCTGTTGGTTCAAAGAGGACAAACCTTCGGAGCTAATGAAGGAATTAAAATTGTTCCGGGTCCTCTGCTCTATATATAACTATAACTTCTGCAATACTTTCTTAGGCTCCTAATAGGCACGACGAGCATCGAAATACTTCTTATTTCCACAAATACAAATACTCCTAGCAAACTCCCACACAACATCACCCTGGCGAGCACGACAATAGGAGCAGCTTAGGGGTTGGGGTATGATCGAGGTTGGCCACCCATACCCTCGTAAGGCTGGCTCACGTTCGCGAATGTGCAAATTTCTGAATGAAAGGCGAGCAGGAACCTCCCACCGTATTGAGACCATTTTCTTAAGGTTATTTTCGCATCGTACGTGGAGTGGACAACTGTGGCTTCGAGTCGGGAATCGTCGCTGGGGACTTCCATGGGTGACCTTGTGATCTGACCGATTGCCATGATCATGTATGGAATAAATGTTTTCAATGATCTGGTTCAGGCCACATATCCATCATGTATACCTAACCAAGGCTAGGCTAAGCGAAACTATCGAGGCTACCAACGCAGAAGCACGTTGACGACCAGGGGGCAAGGTCATCCGTTCGTTCTGTTCGAATAAGGGGATCGTATTTTCGGTTTGGGGAGGAGGTCATATCTGGGGTTGAGTAAGGGAATCACCTTTGGGAAAAGTGCGAACGGGGGTGTATTTTGGGAGTTGAAGGGGTCGTGGGTTTGGGAAAGAGATTTACCAGCATCTACCTTCCCTCCCCTCACTGCTCGACGGTATTGCTCTCAGCAACATCAAACAATCAAAAAAATAGAAGAATATCTATATGAACTACCATCGTGTCGCTAAGAATGACATCAATGGTAGCGGGAACAGGGATCGTGTTTGGTTGAATCTTCTTTGGATAATGGTTATGGTGGGGTCGTACGAGATTCCAACTCCAAGATAGGAAGGGGGGGGTGGAAGAGTGTAAATAGTGCGAATACGACGTTGACCCTGACGAGAGGGTTTGACTTTTTTTTCTCGTATGAGTCCGGCATGATTTTACGAAAATTCGCTCTATTTCAGATGCGTGGGTTTTACGTGGAAACTAGGCAGAACGTGAAGCGGGCCAAGTGTATTCTGACAGCGATCAACAGTGGAAGTATTCCAGGGGTAGAATGGTGAACTTTTGATCAAATGCCGTGTTGTAGCAGTGAAAAAGCAAGCTTTATAAACCCTCGCGGAAGCAGGTCCAAAAAGGTTTTTGTGCTAATCGTTCTACTGAGAGCGCAGGTCGCGTCATCCATAAGGCCTTGTGTTTCATTATGTTGTTGTGTTAATTTTTTTGAAAGTACGAGTCATATGACATAAAAATGACGGAATCAACAATTAGTGATCTTAAACAACTTCTGAGAGCAAAAACATTGTCGACCGCGTTTGTGAGGACATCTGCCTCATTAGTTATTACAGGGCCTGCTTTCTAGACTAAAGAAGATCGGGGGCAGGGTGAATAACGGTCGAGGAAATCCTCGACAGGGGGTCGTATTTGCTCCGATGAGAGTTGGGAGGGGGTCGTAATCAAAAGGGTCATCAACGGACACAACGGTGCTGCTGCCACTTATTTGCTGTCATCATTACTTTCACAAGTGTTGTAGTTAGCCTAATGCAAATAATATCTTACACCTGTCTGGAATTAAAATTCAAATGGAAAGTGGGTGTTGGTTTGGTTCGTAGTGATCAGTGTGGCATAGGAAGGCAACGCGTCCTGCAAAAGAATCGTAGGGAAAGGGCAGCGAGTATCTACTCTAGAATGATGCACATGCTTCGAGAACTTAGTGGAGGAACAGCATCTTGGTAGAAAGTTCAAAACAGGCAGATTCGCAGCCTTCTTGGCATCATCAGATCCTGCAACCGCAAGCGTGTCATTCATCAGAACGGGTTGGAAAGGAAGCGATTGAATAAAGGAATGATCAGACATCACTATGACCACAAGAGTTGTCCTAATTAGTTGATACTGGAATGGATCTGCGCCAAGTGCATCATTTTCAATTTACTCCATCGAACTGACGTGTATAGAAGTATTTTGAAGGTGTTCAAAGAAGTTCCCTACTACGGCGAGGGAGTAATAGAGTTTTCGAGTGGCTTCGAAAATTTCCTTGACATTTCCTCGACGCAGATTTCTCGCGAACTAGAAAGCGTTCGAAACAAATGGAGCACCTGTTAGAAAGCGTGAATCTTCTACTTTACAACGCTTTCCTCCGGATTTTCAAGCATTGCCAATGAAGACAGCTACTGTCTTCCTAAGAGTGGGAACTCGCATGTAAATTTCAATTTCCTCGACAATTTCTCGACGTCTCCCACTCTCGAGAATAGGTGTGCTTAGAAAAACGCTCAGCACAATTTGAAATGGTTATCAATGAAGAAAGTTATAGTCCTTTAATAGGGGGTACATTTGACGATTTTTCCAACTAGCGCGCTCTAGGCACAGCGCGCGACGCGATCGCGGGTAGTTAGCGCCGCTATACTGGAGCGCGAGACTGTTCAACTGTGTAGGGCAGTACCTCCTTCAATGTTCTACTTTCCGGCCAATGTGGCAAAGGTTAAATGTCTTTAAAGGAAAGAAGGAGAACCTAATCTGAGCAGAATTGAATCTAGCATTTGGATCAAGCCGCATTTGCGTGGCAGCGGCGCTGCGTCCCTCTCGCACATCTGAACTAGCATTTTTTGATATGAAACCGGATGTGCAGAGGACAAAAAGGGGTCGTATCAGAGTCCATGTTTTGGAGGGGGGTCGTAAAGAGGCGGTTATTTCCTCGACACGATTTTCACCCTGTCGGTAAGTGGG